CCCTCCCGCGGCTCCTCCCCTGCTCCGGCTCCCGGGCCCCCGCAGGCCCAGCCCCAGTGCCTGCCCCGGCCCCCCGATGCCGCCCAACAAGTCGCTGCCCAGCCCTCCAGGGTGTCGCGGGACGGGAGAGGCGAGGAGGAGGAGCCGAGTTGAGGGGGAGTGGGGACAAGAGGGACACCCGGCCAGGCACAGGGCAGCTGTCAGTGATGGCAGGGGAAGCAGACAGCAGCAAAGTGGTTTGTTTTCAGGACCCTGCTTCTGCTGTCACCGTGTTCCCGTAGAGAAAAGACTGGAAAGAGACAGACCAACTTGTACTGGGAGCTCCCCTGGGTGTGAATTCATAGGTGGTTTTCCTTTCTTCATTTTGCTTATCTGTGTCTCCTGGAGTTTTTGTTTGTTTGTTTAGGGGATTTTTTTGTCTTTGCATGTTTGTTTGTTTTCCATAAACATATCTTGTGTGATTTCCCCCCAAAGTTGTAAAAAGCCAATCCAGGACAGCTGGAAACTCCCACCCAGACTCCAGGCCCTGTCACTAACTCCACCACAGGGAGGGAGGCTAATGCACTGTGGATGAGCTGGGTGTCAGATCAGGCTGGAGAATGACCCCTCAGCTCCAGGGGCCCTGTTCCCCATCCCACTTCACCTGCAGAGGTGAAGTGTGTGTGTGTGTGTGTGTGGAGGGGGTGGGGGGCTGGCTGTAGGAGAAAAGCCAGATGTACAACAGTAGTCTCTCAGCATTTCCTCACACAGGGACCCTCAAACACTCTGGGGCATGCTCCCACGCTGCCACACATCCACATGCATTCACACATGTATTTACACACCTATAAGCCTATCCTTGAAGACATGACCACACAATCAAGAACACACTCATTCACCACCACAGGCTCCTACGAGCACTGGTGGCCGTCCGGTACTCACAAACTCAGCATGTCCTTCTCAGCCCCAGACAAATACTAGTCATGGCCTCCTGCTCTCAACCTTCCACCAGCCCAGGCCCATCAGGGAGCGAATGCCTCATTCACCTCAAATGCCCTCATTCATCGTCTGCAGCTGTTTTTCTGCTCACCTCCATGTAACCTCCTCCTGGCTAGCAGCCTCTCCTATCCCTCGCCCCAAGGCTCCTACTCCACTTCTTAGTTGTGAGAAATGAGGGAAAATTTGCACGCTCTACTACCTGACTTCAGTCCCAGGTTTGGTATGGAAATGGGCCTGAAAGAGAAAATGAGGGATCCCCTACGAAGCCCCCCAATAAGAGGCCTATGTGGAACCCTGGGCTCCCAGGGCTGTGTCTGGGCCCTTCCTGCCTTCCACCAAAGGACTGCTGACCGTGCCCACAGAGTTCCCCTTCCTCTGCTCCTGGCTCACTCCTACCCATCCTTTGTGGCCTAGATTCTCCAGGAAGCTTCCCCTCCTGGAACCACCAGCCTAAGGCCAGGCTGCCCACTGGCCATCCCATCCCCTGATTGTACCCCTCACTAAAGGGCTATTCCTTCACTTTTGGTTCTCACCCTAGTTGTGAGCCCCGCGAACGCCTACAAAACAGGGGCAGATCTTCAATTCATCCTGCGTTCCCCACCCATATCCGCCTGGCATTCCCTCAGCTGGCTCCTTGGGGAAGGAGCTGAGGAATGTGAGCATGGCTTGTGTCTTTGCTGTTGAGTGTGACCTGTGTGAGTGAAGAAGAGGTGGGAGTAGAGGCAGCCACAGGGCATAAGTGCCCGCTGCCTGTTTCCTCTGTGAAAGCACTAACAACCAATGCGTTCCTCCCAACTACCCCGTGTGGGAGGTGTCCATTTTATACGGAAACAGAGGCTCACAGAGGTGACATTATTTCTCTAAGGTCACAGGCTGGGAGTGACAGAGTTTGTCAGACTGTCAGTCTCTAGGGCTGGGGATACTAACTGCTCTGCCTCCCTGGTCATGGCCCAGGATGGTGTGGTGGGGAGGAGCTGCTTTCTGATAACCATGCTGCCTCACCCCCACCTCTCCAGGGTGAGGGGGTTTCTGGTCCCCTCTCATGACGGGCCCTAAGTCCGTTGCCTTTTTCTCAGCTCCTTACTTTGGCTCTGATTCCCCTTTATGCCTTCTCTCTTATATCACCTCTGCCCAAGAGCACCATCACCTCAGTGTTCCTTTGGTCTTAAACACATTTCCATGAACAAGAAAGCAGGGGCTACTGTCTTGGCTCCATCACTGACCAGCTGGTGGCCTTGAGCAAATCACTAATCACAACTCTTCTCTGGCCATGGTTTCCCCAAGTATATGCTGTCTGAGGTTCCCTCTGGTATCAGCAATCTGGGCTCCAACCCCTGGTGAGAGGAGGGCAATAGCCAGCACCTTACCCAGCCCAGTCCACCCCCAGACCTCCCAAGAGGGGTTTGGGCTCCAAGAGGGCTGGGAAATGCTGTGAATTAATTACCATCAGACCTCCGGCCGCTGTTCATCTCAGTAAACAAACATTTTAATATGCAGTAATTAATTACATCTGCCACACCGACCCTCCTCTTGTTCATCCTTCTTCAGCTTTTCCTCTGCTCACCCTGAACCAACCTCCTCCTCCCAGTTGGAGCCTGAGAACCCAGGCAGGGCCTCCTCCCGCCACCTCCCCAGCCTTCTCCCCCCACCCACCAGGTGCAGGCACTCACACCTGCCACACTACTCTGCAGCTTTTTGTTCCCTTTTCTGGTTCCCTAGTACCTGTCTGTCTTTCTGACAGTCTTTTGTCTCTAGTTCTCTCTGCTTGGATTCCTTCCCCCCCTCCCCCCCCAGCAAAATCTGATGCCAAGGACACATTCTGGGAGGCCAGGAAAATGAGGAAGCCAGTGGATCTGCCCCAAGTTCCCCAAATACATGTGCACACCTTTCAACTCCCCAGTGGCCCAGCACCAGGCTACTTTACAGGGACTGTCTAAAAGCCAGAACAAACCTATTTCCGGGAGTAACCCTCCTCGCCCTACCAGCTCTCAAGAGTCCTCCTAAACCCAGTCCCTTCTCCTACCCCACTCCCCGCCTTCACAGCAGTTCAGTGTGAAAAGCACAAAGTGGACACTTTCGCCCAGGTAAGCGCACCTGGCCACACCACAATACCTTTGCACCGTCTCCAAGAACCAGGAATACCAAGATTGCATCCACTCCCCTGCCTCAGGACTCCCCAGGAGTAGGCAGCCTAACATGGTGGGCCTGTGGTACCCAGTCCGTGGAAGGGAGGGTACCCCTTTTCTAGGGAGGTTCATGGTGTCCTGCCTTGAGTCTGGTGGGAGCGAGAGATTGACCAACAATGGGTCAGAAGCGAGAACCACCAGGTGAAAACGAGACGAAGGGGACCAGGTGCCTAGGGTTCAGGTGCCTAGGGTTCGGAGCGACTGGAGGGTGAGAAAAGAGCCGGTGGTGGGAGAGTTATGGCCCAGCCTGGCCACGCTGGGGGAGCCGGGAGCGGGATGGGCGGGGTAGGACGGGCGCCACCAGGCGTGGCGCAGGGAGCGGAGCAGAATGAAATGCAGATGCAAAACGTGCTCGTAAGAGTTTCCTCTCTCTCCCCCATCTGCCAAAGCCGAGATTTTAATCTTTAATCCATGAGCAATCAGCGAGCAGCGGCGAATGGCACATTACAGATGTTTTACTGTCGCGGGCGCTCGCAGCCTCCGCGCTCCGCACAGGCGCGCCCGGCGCCCAGGCCCCGCCTGTCCCCACCCCTCCCCCTCTGGTCCCTCATCCTCTCCCTTTCGCTGGTAGTCATTTTAACAATTTCCCCTCTACTTGCTCGCTCCTGACCGGCAGTGGAGATGGGAGTGGGGCGCAGGACACTAACCCTTCCTAGCGGATCGGTGGGGGTACACGCGGGGGCACTGGCACGGCCCGGCGGGGCAGCACTCGGCATTGCTTTGAGGCAGATTCTCAGCTCCGTCCAGCCTGGGAGGCACAAAGACAGGAGCATTGAGTGTCCGCTAGATGAGTAGTCCTACCCCTCCATCCCCTTCCCCGCCCTACCCCACGGGGGCGGGAGGCGGGGAGGGGGACCGCTGGTGGCTCCTTCGATTAGCGCTCCAGATGTTCAGCTGCGCTGGGGCTCCGATTGATTTCCAGATGTTGGGTACCTCTGTTCTCACGTGTGGGACCGCTATCCCCTCTGTATGACGAGAGAGGAGAGCACTTTAGTAGTCAGATCTGGAAGACTAGGGAAAATCTGACCGATGGAGTCTTAACAACCAGCTGATAAAAACTCACTTCACCACTTGGGGAGTTGTTCCCTCTGCAAAGTTGGGGCAGAAGTCCCGCCCACTTCTTGGAGCTGGAGCACGAGGAGGAAGATGGAGACTTTATCAGGTCCTGAGTCCAATTTGCTCCCTCAGCCCCCATAGGATTCCTGAAAGCCACAGGGATATACGCTTCCCCCAGTTCAAAAATCCTTACAGTGACCCCAGTGTGCAAAGACTGATTATTTGATTAGCATCTGCCCACAAGTTCCATGAGACCAGACTGTGTCTCACTCCTGATGTGTTCCCTGGGTCCAGCACTGGGCCTGGCACACAGGGGATGTTCAATAAATATTTGTTGACGGAACGGAAGAGCTCATGTTGTCTGCTGTGGCCTCAGATCATGCCTTCTTGTGCCATTATCAGTGAAGATAGGCCTTCATCCCATGCACCAATGCATGCACACACAATCCCCCTCCACCAAGATTCCTCCCCAACTGCAGGTAACAGCCCATTCCCCCTATCTTCCTGGGAGGTGTTCCCTATTAGAGAGAAGGGGACCCAGGGCAAGAGGATGTCTGGCACTAAGCCAGGACTCTTTCAGCCAGGGTCTCGGCTCCTCTGACTTAGCCTTCACCCCCAAATTTTGGACATCCTTCCCCTTCCCCTCTGCGGACCCCTTCTG